GGGGCGGGGGGGGGGGGGAGAGGGAGAGAGAGACAGAGTGTAGGAGGAAGCCACCCCAACTGCGGTCGTTGACCTCACGCACCCCCCGTCCAGCCCGAGCCCACCCCTCAGGGCCGACGACACTGGTGCCGTCTCACAGAAAAGTATTGCACTCGCATCAACCCTTTTCAACGCTCTTTATATCTTCTTGGGGTCTTGGGGTGCCCCACAGTTTCTCAAGCCACCCCCCGACGTCTCGATTCATTCAGCTTCGTACCCCGCGTCAATAAGTATTGCGTGTGACTGAACTGTTCCTTTTTTTTTTTTTTTAATTATTTTACGCCTTCGTCCTTTTCTATTTTTTCTCTCTTCTTCTACTTTCTTTGTCCTTCCCTTTCCGGTTTCTTTTTTCTTCACCTCGTGGCGCTCCTCCGGCTTCCGGGTATGTCCCGGTGCCCTGGGGTTCTGGGTATATGCCGTTTTCAAATCCTTCTGCTTCGGCGACACTGCCCGTCAACCCTTCGGAGGATCGATTTGAGACGCGTAGAAAAATTATGACATACCCCTTTCTCCCTTTCTCCTTGTCTATCTTGTTATTCGTGGGTCTGTCTCTCTTCGTCTACCGCACCTATCCCTGCACACATCCTTACCCATCTACGTTCACTGCTTTGCCTCTTGTCTTGTGACGAACCCAGATGCTACTGGTATGGTATCCATACGTTATAGGTAACAACCCCTATTTCTACTTAGGGTTTTAGTAGTTTAGCGTTTTTTTGTTCCCTAGATCTATTTTAATTATACAGTTATACAGTCCGCCCTTTACTAACCTGACTGTATTAACTTTCGAGCATGGTAGGTCCTGGATCGCATGTACACAGGGTATATACCGAAGGGGTAGTCGCTGATATTTATAGCGTCAGAAGCCGGACGACCCACCCTAAATTTGCGTGTCTTAGACGAGCCCTGCGAGTTCACCGACTTCAAATTTTCAAACCCCACGCGTGCCCATGTGTCTACGCTACGTTCTAACTGACCTACCCCTACTTTTTGAATTATATAGCAACATGCATCGCCTCTATCTACACCGGAGCACGTAAGACAGGGAGTCTTCATTTTGATTTTGTAAAAAAAAGAAACGCACACGATACTACAATTTTATTTACCTGGAAAGCTAAGGGTAGTTTCACTCGGTTGGTCATCAACGAAAATTAAGCCGGGTACGGATATCATTCCCTAATCTTATGTATACCTATACTACTGTAAATCCCGGTCATGCGTGGAGATGTCTGCCTCAAGAAGTCTACGCGCTTTAAGAAGGGTGCAGCCAAGTGGGGGATGTATCGCGTTGGGTATAATGCGAGTTACAAAGAAGTAAACGCGCGAGCAGATGCCCGCGCGCATGCGCATTACGTACGGGATACTCGTAGACGCACGAAATTTACGAAAATCCATTTCATTAGCACGTAACAATTTTCAAGCGTATTCATATTTAAAATTGCCCGGCCTCGTTAAGGTTTCGTGAATGAAAACCTTAACGAATCTCGACGACAACTCTCGAGGAAACGCGTTGCTCACAGTTACTGCAATTAAACCATAAGTCACAAGGCTATACGAGTACGCGTTACATACGCGCGCATAGGCACGTGTGGATAATTGACATCGGGCGAAGGAATAAATCTAAGAAATATTCACATGTGGGATAACGTAAGTTTTTCCTCGCGAATATAAGCTTTTTAGCGCATATTTGTTACCTTAATCCTTTTTTTAATATTTTTTTAACCTTTACCCCCTTTTTCTTCGATACGCACTTGGGGAAATTCTTTGAACTACCTTTAAGGTCATAAGCGTTGTAATGCCTGATAGCGAACGTTAACCCTTGATAACAATGAGCAACCCCTCCCCC